TGTGTGTGTGTGTGTGTGTGTGTGTGTGTGTGTGTGGATTATACAGAATAATCAAAACTTTAGTTAAAAGTAAATTTAAATTTCCCTGCCCCTTTCCCCTGTTCCCCCCAAAAACACCATCATCAAAACAACAACAACAACAACAACAACAACAACAACAACAGCAGCAGCAACAACAACAACAACAACAACAACAACAACAACAGCAACAACAACAACAACAAAACAAAACAAAAAAATCGTTAAAATAAGTTCATGTCTTTGGCCAATGACTGCACGGCGACCCCTATGCTGTGACCTCACTGACAATGGAGAGCCTGGATGTGAGTATCGGATAAAGTCAGTTTTCAATGTGAGGACCACACATCATCATCACCATCATCATCATTGCTTTTTTAGTTTTAGTTTTAGTAAGAGTTTTACGGCACTTGAAACACGATAAGGTCATATAAGTGCCGAAGATTAGAGGTGTTACAAGAGAGTGACATACACAAAAAAGAAGGTGGGGAGACAAGGATGATAGATGTTTGATAGGAAAGAAGAAGCAAACCACACCAGAGCACCCGCCAACCACCCACATCATCATTATCTTTCTCAACATGGATCAGAGTGTAGGCCACGAACAAACGCTTTCCACCTTTCCCTATCCTGGGATAGCCACTTGATGTTATCCCATGCTTTCCCACTTTTCTGTTCATCAAATGGTCGCTTTTAAGGACAAGCGAGCCAACCCAGATTTCGGAGGTTTCCAGAAATCTTGACCTACACCAAAAGTGGGCATTGCCCTATCTATAGGAGAAGTTTCATTGGTGTGTATATTTGTTTGGTTTAGAGAAAACTGTCCTTGTCTTTTAAAGAAACTAAACAAGGCGCAAAAACTTTGTCTTTGATTTTCTCAAAACAGCATTTTTAAGGATAGAGCCCTTGTGCTTAAAAGCGACCAATTTCTGTGATTTATCTCCAAGTTCCACTTGAATCCACAAATGCCCAAACGAAAACATAAAAAGAAGGAATGACAGGCAGATAGTCAGGCGGATACTGACAGAAAGAAACCCAACCAAACAGACAAACAGGCAGAGAGTTTGTTATTTTCAGGGTTGGCGGGGAGGGGGGGGGGGACTTCTACTGTAAGAAATCGGTTAAGCTAAACCTTTCTGCTGACTTACCACAATCTGTTTGAGGTCATTGACCTGCTCCTGGAGACTGAGGTCATCCGACATCTTGGAAAAAAGAAGAAATTAAAGTTATTCCCATATCCCATCCGGACTATGGTGATTGCCTTTTTAGTGAGATAACTTTCTGGGCCTTCGGCATAATAATTATTGTGGTAGGGTGGCCAGTTCATTTCCACGCCGCATTTACTTCCCCAACTCGAAGTTAGGTAGGCCTACCCATCACTGCAGAGTGGGCAGGAGGGGGCGAAAAAAAACTGATATGTGTAATGGAGATAAATACCCGAGAGCGACAAATCCCTTAGCCTATAGACACGAATGTTTTTTCATCACCAACAACAACAATAGTGAAGCAAGACGGCGTCGGTGGGGAAGCGGTCAAGCGTGTCGGCTGCACCCCAGAGGGGGAGGTTACCGATAATCCGCCTTAAAATTAAATGCTATTGTGAGCAAACTCCATGATAATATTTGCTAATGATCGGAAATAACACGTGAACGTTTGAATACAAAGTCTCAATACCCCCCCCCCCAAAAAAAAAAACCCCCAACCCCCCAGCAACAACAACACAACAAAAAACAACCCCAAACAAAACAACAAAACAAAACAACAACAAAATAAAGAACAAAAAGACCAATACCCCACAGAACAACCCAGCAGCAGCAGCAACAACAACAACAACAACAACAACAACAACAACAACAACAAAAGAGAAAAAAAGAAAACAACAACAACCACAAAAAACAACAACTCACACACACAAGGTTGACTTCCGGAGATCAAATTACGCGTAGTTGAAAACTCCGACAAGATCAGAACGATCGTTGGACCGAATCTTAAGGGGTTCAAAACGTTTGCGTGCTACCCAGGAAAACGGTATTGGCCCAGACAATTAGTGTACTGAATGCCAATTTGAGCACTCCCCCCCCCCTTTCCCCCCTTTAACCCTATCCGTACGTCGTGTTTTGCTATCATATCCATACGACGTGGGGAACTCTGTGCCACCACTTTCCAAAGAGGAAATTTACTCGTTAATCCAATCAGCACGCTTTGCATAGCAGTCTGTCAAAATGATTTTTTTAAAAGAAATACTAAAAGTTTAAAGAGATCTTCCTACTAAAAGTATTCTAAAATGTGAAGAATGCAACCCCAGGGGTACAAAATTATGACATCATGGCGTACGGATAGGGTTAAAAACCAGACTACAAAATGAGTTAAGTGTTCAATTATAAGTGTTCCGTGTATGACGTCACCGTGACTCACACGTAGCTCCACAAAGAGTGAAGATAAAGGGCCCAGGATGAACATAATGTGAGCTCCGAACGGAGGGATAAATTTACTTTGACCCAAACCGGTGACATTATTTAGCCCGTCAAACTAGGTACCATCTTCCAGTGCCAGATCTGCGACAGACATCAGCGATCATGGCTCTCCATTCATTCCTTTGCTCGGATGCTCTTTAAAAAACTTTTTAAAACAGTGAGCGTCCGACGTGGGCTTTATCAAGCGCTACCTCAAAAATAGATAATAATAATAGATAGCATTTGTATAGCGCAAATCCCCGCTCAACAGCAAGCTCTATGCGCTTCACAATCTATACTATTACCCCAGCAGACCTGAGAGCATTCTGAAACAACCTCAACTTCCTGGGACACATATAGTGCAAGCAGCCCTTTATAGGCGCTAAAACACTAACATACTGACAAGATCTTTGGCTGTCTATGGCTGGGTACCCATTCCCACCTGAGTGAAGTGAGGAAAATACGTGTTAATTAAGTGCCTTTCCCAAGGACACAACGTTGGGCCGGCGGCTCGAACCCCCGAATCAGCCACCTCACAATTACGAGACCGGTACCCTAACCACTAGGCCACCGACGCCACATGAAACTTCATCAAACTAAGTACGTGTAATGTATGGTTAACGGTCTTCGTCAAAATTGACGGACCAGCTGCTAATGTATTACCTTGAGCTCTTGTTGGTCTTTTGCTTTCGTGTTTCACTGGGTTGGACGTCTTTCTGTGATGTGATGGTGATACACCTGGTGGGGACATGGATGGATGGATGGATGGATGGATGGATGGATGGATGGATGGATGGATGGATGGATGGATGGATGGATGGATGGATGGATGGATGTGTTTTTTTTATTATTATAGATTTAAACCTAGATCTATTATGAATACAGCGAGAT